TTTTATATTATAAAATTCACTATTAACATCACATGCCTTACCTTATCTGTTCAATTGCTGATATCATCTCTGACGCCTTCTATATTTTTCACAGACAAAATGTTCTTTATTCTCTTTATTTCTATAAAGATGTTGCTCATATTATTCCCTGTTTTTTAATTTCTTTGTTTGATTGTAAAAAAGTTCCTTTTTTTAAATTCTTCAAACCATTGGAGATCCTTAAACCATTCAGTGCTATTGAAGAAATTTCTCCTCTTGGCAGAATACAAGCCACTAATGCCCCCAACATACTTTCTTCGTATATCAAGTCTCTCGTGCTACTGACAGGTCAAATGTGACACTGATAATATTTTATGATAAATATATATTTATTAAAATTATATGCGCTCTGTGACATCTAAAATGTGAGCAGTCAGGATATGCTTCTTTTTTTTTTTCAAATAGAACAATCCATAATTGATTGTTTAATTAAAAAGGCATATATTGGATCAAAATAGCATTTATTTTACCAATATTAATTAAATATTTATTTATGGATTACTCTATTTTCAATGTATTGTTGCCTTGGTTGACAATAACTTCCGTGGGTACAAAGGATCTTTAGGACTTTATTTAAGCCTAATCGATAAAATAATTACAGAAGAGTCCAACAATAAAGAAAACAGAAGTTACAAACTCACCAACTGCAGCACGGTGAGGGAAAGCAGAAGCAGAACAGGAGACAGAAGTTTGTAGAATCTTCTAGGAAGTACACCGGCGTCGGCGGTAAGCAGCAGTCCGACCTCTTGAGACAGCAGCGTTTGCTTGGGGTCCACCACGTAGCTTCGTTCTTCTACCCCTTTGAACGAGTTCCTCATCCCTATATATACCGGAGTAGATCTTTTCAGAACGGTCATGGTTGGTTAGCCAATCAGAAAGCCACGAGCACTGTGCCTTGCGCAATCTCTACTGATTGGCCAATCAGTTGTTCTCCGATTTTTCTTGAACCTTCTAAAACATTCTATTCTGGAATGTGCCACTTTTTTCCTACATAATATATATATATTGTCGCGCTTGACCCCTCCAGTTCTCTGCGACGACACCGCTTCCTCCTTCGTGGATCACCTACCCTGGGCTCCTGTTCCTCTCCCTCTGCAGCTCTACCCTGCAGAGCACCCAAGGATGTCTGAGAACAACCGCTCAAGTGGAACTCCTTTCCTCTGGCAGTATCTCTCGGCCTTACCACTGGTGGGGGGACACGAGAGACTTACCAGAAGAGTAGCAGCAGCAATGTGGCGATGGCGAGAGGAACAACAGCAAGCGGCACCAAGACTTCTAACACTACTCTTTATTGTCATTTCTACTAAACATTGCATAAAACTGGAATAATAAACAACGGGTATTTGCCACCTCCTGGGGCCAATATAAACGTGTATTTACATACATATTCCCCAGGAAACAGGCAAAAGCGTCATCTATTGGCGGAGGTTGTAGGTAGTTTCAGGCCTTATACGCGACAATATCTACAGTATATATATGTATACAGTAGAACCTCTTTCATGAGAGAACACTCCTGATGGAGAACACCTCTCTACAAGAACAGTTTTTATCTCAAAATTACCATTTTTACTAATTAGCAGCTTTCCGGTAAGAGGACGCCTCTCCCTAAAGGACAATTTGGCGATGTAACTAAGTGTCCTTTACAGAGGAGGTTCTAGTGTATTTTGAAAATTGGCATTTTTCCAAAAATATTTTATAGGTCCAGGTGGTTTAACCTTCAACTTTGTTCACAGCACTTGAAGATTCAAAGGCTTTCTGATTAGTTTTTAAAATTTCTCTTTAAGAGTATATTAAAATATATTTATATTTCAATGTAAATATTGTTTTCTGCATTCCCCCCTTATAATTTAATCAAGAAGTTGATAATCAATTGAATCTGATTTTTACACTCCTCCTATATATATTTTTTTAATTCAGCTCTTTTTTTTTTCTCCTCTATAGTTTTTTTAAAGCAACTAATAGAAGAAAAAAATGTTTTGGTTTTTTTATTGGTGTCCACATTTTTATTATTTTGTTCTATTTTCTAATTGAAAATTTTCTTTTAATTGTTCCACAATTCCTTCCTTTTTAGAGCATCTGTGTTCTGTTCTAACATATTTTTTTGAAAATTTCTTTTCCAATCAATTTTTATTATCCTAACTATAGGAATATGCTCTGATCTACAACCTGAGCCCTGAATGGCCTTACAATTTTTTAAGCTTTTTTTTTAAATCCAAAATCCTCTATTTTAAACATTTTTATGAAACCCAAGTATACTCATAGACAAAACTTAAGGAAGAGGTAAGTCTTTAATGTCACTGGTCATCTATTTTTTTGAAGGGGACAAGCCATTTTGTTCACACTTGGTTATCTTGTGTGTCTTCAATAAACGTCACTGTTTATCAAATATCTTCCAGAATTTTCTGAATCCTGATATAAATGCTAAAAGAGGTATAAATTCGAATTTGATAAGGCACAATTTGGATTATAGATTAGAAATACAAGCTAATAAGACCAAATCTGAAGCCCTGTTTTGAACCAGGGACCTTTAGATCTTCAGTCTAATGCTTTCCCTACTGAGTTACTTTGCCTTGGATTTGGTCTGATTACCTTGTATTTCTGATGTATATTTCCTCAAATTTTCCCAGAGTGTATGTATTTTTGGGATTTTGTTCAAATAAAGTTTTCCAACTTTTAACAAAAAATTAAGTTTACCCTCCTAACAATGGCCATATCTTCATTGATTTTTGCATTCCAGTTGCCAAAAGTAATCAAAGTAGTTCTAAGAGTTTCATATTAATAAAATAATTCATTTCTTCTGTGCTATCAGCAGTAGGTGCATATTTGAATAAGGAGCATATTTCTTTGATGGAATTTCAATTTTAATGATATTATTCTTTATAATGTTCTCCATATATCAATTATATTCTTCTATATTATTTTTTTTTCACAATGAATAATTTCAACTTTTTTCATATTCTCCTAATCATTAAAACTTCTCCTTTCTTTATAGAAGTAATTATATCTCTTTTCTCCATCCCTTTCCAAAATGTAAGCATACCAAATATGTTCATTTACTTTCAATCTTCGAACTTCCTTGTTGAAATAAGGTACTGACATTCAGTGTTCCAAATTCCCTTTTTTTCAATACTACAGAAGGTGTCATATTGTGTATAGCAGATTAACACTTTCAGCCTAGCTGCAAATTGAATTGCTCTTGGGGCAAGCTCTCACAAATTATTATTACCAACTTTGTGCGTGAATTTAAAAATTTTATATTTATATCTTGAACATAAAATATGAAGGTTCAAATAAAATTATGATACTTTCTTTGCAAAAAAAAAAAGAAGAAAAGGTTTCTAATTCTACTTATATTGTTTAAAGAAAACAAAAGATAGAGAAATGAATGGATGTAGTCCAGTTACTGGAGTGCAAATCGCCCACTACCCTTGCTGCACCGCAGTCTAGAAGTAGGTTCTAATCGTGAGGAGAATTGCTTGTTTCAGTAAACTAATTGACTAGGAATTTTCGGGCCGAAAGTGAGTCAGAGAGAGGGGCCAAGTATGGAGGGCTAAGGCTCTTACTCCAAAAATGTTTTAATCTGTGTGACAGAAATGCTGGAGAGTTGAAAAAGAGGTGATCCGCCGTTTCTGGCTCTTCCCAGTGGTGACGATATGTTTAATCAATATCTGTATGCCAGAGCGCGAGATCTACAAGGACATGACTGTAACCTGTAAGGAGGATGATGGTAGTAACCATTCGAAGACAGATCTTTGACCAGAATGTCTTGAGGGGGTTTTGAGTGGAAGTGAATCTTCTGAGTCTCCTGTTCTGACAGTATTGGGCATAAACTATGACTCAGGCATCCATTGCAGATGACTGCCAACTAGGCTTCAAGGAAGAATGGAATAGGAAGAGACCAGGTTAGAGGTCCCAAGGGTTTTGTATCATTACAAAATTCAGAAATACAAATGGTAAAAGGAATTAAACATATTGTGACATCTGGCTCTCTCCAATCACAAGAACCAAGACAACGTGGAATGCTACTGGCCCCAGGGAGACCGTGGGATTAAAAGAAAGTGGTCAGCCAAGGAAGAGAGGGGGGGGAGGGAATAGAAAGTTTGGTGACAGCAGTTCAACAGCAAGGAGTCCTAACGAAGGGTTGGCGACTGCTATGTGAAGGTGAACATTGGAACGAGTTTTTCGTCAGCTGCAGGGTAGCCTACAAGTTGGCGTATTCCAGGCTGAATGTGGACCATATGTGGAGCACGGTGCCAGCGTTAAGGATCCTTCTGACAGCAAGTCCCACTTACTGTATTCCTTCTATTTTGTACGTCTATATAATAAAGCTCAAGCTGTATTCATTTATGAACTCACATGCTATCTATGTATCATCGTGATTAGATAAAGATCACAAATGGCGTCTGGGTAGACGCAACAATATATATGAAGGTGAAATGAGAAAAGTTTACTTCTATTTTATCTAATGTAGAAAATCAGGAATGACAAATATAAGAATGACACAGCAATTTATTTAAGGCACAAAAAAAAAATCAACATTTATAAGATTCAAGATAAGCAATGAGGGGAGTTCTAGATTAGCAACACATGAATAATAAAAATATAAAAAACAATAATCGGTACATATAATAAATACTTTGCAACAATATAATGCTATTAGTTTTATTCAATCGTGTTTTAAGTTGCAGAAAATCATTTTAAATACTTAATTAACTTCTCCGTAAAAGGTTTCTTTTATAATTTATTAAAATTGAAAAGCTTTAAGTTAAGAACTTTTCTACAGATATTTCTTCTAAATATTTGGAAAAATAATTAAGTTTTAAAACACTAAGTAATATTAAATATCATTTATTTAAAATAAATCATTTAATGCGACACTATAATGAGAAATTTGGTTACAAATTAGAAGAATATATTTTAATTTTAACTTTGTAGTGTTAAGCAACCTCTTTGAAAGTAACTGTTTCAAATAAGAGAGATATTTATAACCCCTGGTTCCTGGAGTGTATAAATTTCAAATAATTAAAATAGTAGCATTAAAATAGTATTTATTCCATAATCTCACAAACCAAAAATCAAAATAAATTAGTTCAAGAGATGTTACTTGAATTCAATCATTTTTAAATCCCCACCAAAGTATTTATTTCAATTTAATCAATTATAATTCAATACCGACTTTGAATAAACAAGAATAACTATCCCTTGTGGGGTTGAATTCAAGAGGTTTGACTGTAAAATGGCTATAGTTCTATTTTTTTTATTGCCAATACATTTTTATTTTATAAAATGGATTAAGAAAATTTAATATATAGAGTATATTGATAAAATTAAACAAATTATATATGTATACTCAAAAATAAAATTCAAATTTATATGCCATTTCATTTTTATAGATATAGAGATATCTATTGATAAAAAATAGTCATATTTTCAAAAACTTGCAGAACTTTTAGTGTTTGAGAAAAATAACTAAAAATAAACTATCAAATTAAAGAATAAATAATTTGCTTAATTTAATTTATTATTAATAAAATTATTCCCAATTTAATATATATATTTTCTCTATTGCCTTAGCATTTCTATTTAATATTTATTTTTGATCACTGAATAAAAATACACATACACGCCAATTCCCTTCCTTGAATCTGATTGGCTGAAAAACGCCACTATCCTCACTGCAACAAGGCCTAGAGCAGACGACGCAATGCAGGTAAGAATCCACCAATCCTGATATGTTTTACATGCGCGCCTTGTAAATAGAGCCGGCAATGGCACATTCTGATAACATTACGCATTGAGTGGTACTCTAAGTCGCTTGTTTCTTGCAGGTTTTCTTCATCTGTGTCTGATTTAAAACATCTCTTTTCTACAATTTACTTAAATTAAAATCATCTAACAACTTCATTTGATTTCTACATTGGTGAACATTCTTTAACCACTCCCACTCGAAAGAAATGGTGAGTATTCTCTTCACGTAAAACTAGCCATTTTATGCACCTAGCTAAGCCATTTTATATAAATATCAAATAAATACGAAATTTAATATAAGTATTTTCATCAATTTATTGAGTTAAACTATATTTATGGCGATTCATTTTAGATGGATTTTTAACAATTTTTAATATATCGTTCAAAATCTCAAAAATACGATTTTATTTAATAATAAATATATCTTTAAAAATTCGGAAAATTAAAAATAATTTATAAATTCGAATGAATTGTTTAAAACTATATATATAGAGAGCGACGCTATCCAATTTCACCATACATTTATAGCCAAGTTTCGCATATTCATTTCATATTTTGGTTCAATAAAGGATATTTTGAAGAAAAAAAAAATTACAAAATATTTATAAAACATAATTTTATAATTTTATTTTTAGCACTTTAGGTGATTAAAAAAAATTCCACTCATTTAGGACTATTTATTAAAAATATCAAAAAATTACAATTAAATATTTATCAGTCATTCTAATGAAAAATATCTATTCTAAAATGAACATATTCTTATGTTGCCTTAAGCCAAACCTTGTTTTTTAAAATATCATTTATTTTTTCCATTTCTGCCATTCTAGTTTTAATTTATAATTTATAATAATTACAGAAGTGTTAATGCATCAATATTTTTCTATCTTGACCATATTTAACATTTTAAAATTCTTTTTTTTCTCAAGGATTTTTTTTGCACCTTTAAATAATGCTAAAAAGAGGGGAAGAAAAGAGTTTAAAAAATAATAAAATATAATCAATTATATTATATATTGTGCCACAACCCTTGTTTTTACTTCATCCTAAGACATTTATTATTCTAACTGTATATTCAAAAATATTTTATTATTATTATAAAAAAAGGTTTATGTTCAATGAGGAACATTAAAGGAATCTTGCCCATCTTATTGAATATGCAAGAATGAACATTGACCTATTTACTACATTACTAAAACCTAACACTTCTGAAAGAATATAAAAGTAATAGGATATGACACAATATCTCTGTGTGTGCTCAAAACCTATCAAATTGGAAATTTCCTAATAAAAATGCAATAGGAGATTCCAAATTAAAACTCTTGCCTATGTTTAGATTGGACTATAAAGTTGAGGGTTTGACGCAAAATAACATTTTGAAACTTTGTAATCAAAAGTGTGCAGCAAAGATTAAGGTTTTCACCCTGTGAAACATCACGTAGTTTATTTTAAAATATCAAATATGAATTTTTAGCTTTTGGGCCTGAACGATGGAGACAGACAGAGTCCTATTAAATATTTAAAAAAATAGAAGTTTATCTCTCCGCAGAAATCATTGTTGGGAGAGCTTCCTCAATGTAACCTAATTGTATATTTTTCAGTCTATTATTTTACTCTTTATCAAAGTGCCAAGCTGTAACTTGATTTAGTATTTGTTCTCTCCTATCATTGACTGGTCAATAAAATGTTTTAAACTCTCTCCGCCTCATGTTCTTAATTTGTTTGATACCGGGGATATATATTAAATGTATTGAGAACAAATTAGACATATCCTGACCACTAACATGAGAGTTTTTTTTAAATATATATAATTTTATATAAAAAT